ACTTCACGTAGTTCAATCATGCACTCTAAAATGTTGAAATACGTATAAACTAAAAGATACAGTAAGATTTGCGAACATTTTAAAGTCCACACTTAATGCACCAAACCCATTTTTCGAACGTGAAGTTGCCCCCCCCCCCCCGTATTTTCCTATAACTATGAAATTTATGTTAAACGATAGTGTGTTATTTGCGAAAATTATCAGCCAACATTCAGAATTTTTTCAGGAACCTAAGTCTTTTTCTCATCAAACCAATGTATATAATTATAAGAATTACCTTGATTTTTCTTTACTTTTTTATGTTTAAAAATGTAATTATACACATTGTTGAGTCAATATTTTTTTATATAGATGAGAAACTTTTTGTATTAAATTGCAGATCTTCAAAATGTTTTTTATAATATTAAATTTAAAAAACTTTAAAAAAATGAAATTAAAAATGTCAAATACCATAAAACAAAATATATTATTAAACATAGTTTAAAATGAATAATAAACAATAAACATATAGTCAATAGTGTGTAAATCAAACATTTTTAATATATTTCTGTGATTATGTATTTTATACATTATCTTTTAACTGTTAAATGAACAGCTTATGAAAACCTCGTAATAAATGTTCTAGAATTATAACTTACCAAAAACACTTGTCTTTTAACAACATTTATAAAAAAAAAAAAATGTCTAATGTTTATAAAAAGTTCAAAAAGATTTAAAATATTTGAAGTATTTATTGATACTCGTTTTTGAGTTACACTAAAAAAAAAAAAAAAAACCAGAAATAATCTTGGCATTTTGAAAGTACAAACTAATCCAATTTTCTATATAAAACTATCACCAAAGTTAAATTAAAGCATTTTCAATTACTTATTGTATATTATAGTATATACATTTAACATATTACATGGAAAAAAAAAAAAACAAATCAATATAAAATTAATACATATATTGCTATGTTTAGAATATAAAATAACATTTATTTTAATATGGACAAAAATTATAAAATCAGAATCAACCTACTAATTTACTTGATCTCAGTAAAAACCAATTTAAAAAACACGAGCTAATTAAGTACAACTATGTTAATAGAATTTCAAATAAAAAGTAAATTAAAGTAAAATCATACAATAACTCAAATTTTTACTATTATCTTTAATATTCAAATCTATCACCTAATTACCTTTATTACATATATATTTATTTATCATATAAGAAAAAAATGTTAATGCACTGGTTACTTTTTTTTATTTTTCTAACCCTAGCGCAATATTCAACCTCCTTTGCATTCAACAGATCCATTTTTGGGTTGTTAGTTTTATATTAATTTTAATTGACTTGATAAAGAACTTAAATAAATATAATTTAAGGAACCCCATAGGTATTTACTGATGTTTTAATTTTAAAGTAAAATAAATACTTGTATTTATAACTAATACTTGTACGTATAAGTCATCAAATGTTTGTAAATTTTATGGTAGGCTAATAAGACATAAATAAAATAGAAGTGCCAAAATACACCTTGTCACTTTCCCACATGGCTCTTCTGCGTTCTGACTTATACTATTGCATACCTTGCAACCCCCTAGATACATCTATATAAACATTGTAAGTTAATAATTTATATAGTTATAATACACTTTTAATTTAAAATATCAATAAAATCTTATTAGGTACCTTAGGTCATTGGATCTCGACCACTGATCTAAATTGTATCAAAAAATCTATTTTTAGAAAGATTGTGAAACTTGTCTAAAGTGGTTTGTAGTCCTACTTAATAAGCCATCGATAGTCTAAGACTGTAAAAAGATTGAGAATCACTATTCTGGATAATATTTTTACTTTTAAGTGTAATATTAAGTCAATTATTTCACTCCAATATTAAACAAAAAAAAAAAAAAAAAAAATGAGATTTGCCAAACCTAAATTTTTTATGTTGCATATACGATAGAAAATCAATACAAAGTGTGCTGTAATCCTCCTAAGTAATTTAAGTAGATGAAGATAATAAATATGAATATTTTATAAAAAAAAAATTATCATTAATTATTTTATTACTAAACACTAATTATACTAAAATGTACATACGTTATACTATACTTAAATTATGATCTTACTAGATACTTGGAAAAATACATCGTAGCTCACAAGTTATACTATACAAAATGGGTACATAATATGAGCAAAACCCTGCCTACAAATCTTTATCAAATAATATTTATAATAAATTGTCAACAATTCCTTGTATCAATAAAAGTATATTTACAGAATGATATTTAAACACAGTTTTATTTTAATAGATATTCTAAATATATTTGAGTATTGGTTTGGTGCTATTGTCCCACTACCAGCATGATGATATTAATATGATATAATGATTGAATACTTGATAAAAAATTTTAAAATACCAACCCAGTATCATAAAACTTATAACTAAACCAATTAAAGAGCTTGTGTGAAGTTGGAATTTGAGGGCCTTTTTAACCATTTCTATTATTATTTAAGTAACAATAGTATATATGAAAGGATATACTATAATAATATACTTTTAGTTTTTACAACCATGAATTACTATAAATTAGATAGTTTTATTTTTATAAATTAATAGATATGTTAATAACTAAAAAGAATGTACATTAACATGTACTGTTTTATTCTCTTGTACATAGTACCTAACTAGCAAGTGCAATATGGACATACAGTATTAATAAAAACTATATGAACAATGTTTAAAAAATACTAAATGATTAAAATCATTAAGGTAATATGTGCAGTTACCACAGAATGTAGTTTAATATTAGTATACATTTATCTTAACTATCAAGATTAAAAAACAATAATAACAAATTAACTAAAATAGAATTATAAAAACAAATAATAATGTATTATACAAAGAAACATTATGATTACAAATTTTAATTATCTATAGTTTCAGTTCTAACAGAAAACACTTACAATACTTAGTTATATGCAATTTTAGAGAAATACCTTAAAAGTTCTTGCATATATAAAAACATTAAATTTTATTGTCATCATTTGATTTATATTGTATATTATGCTATATATATGCCAATTTTATTTTAATAAGGTTAAAGTTGCTGTTATTTTTATCTTTTTAATTTTTATGTTTTTTAAATTTTATTTTCATGCTAGCTACTACTTGTATAATTTCTTATTTATTGAAGACATTTTTATATCCCTTTATATTATAATGGCGAGAGTTATTAGGTGATTACAAATAATACATGAGAATACCAAAGTAAATATAATTAATTAACCAACTAATTCTACAATTCAATAAATCATAATATTTATTATTCTATTCATCATCTTGTGATGGAACAATGATATAAGTATGCTACCAATCAAAAACAATAATAAATCACAGTTTTTGTTACTATAAACTTATTAACTTAATTAACTTCTATGGACAGTATTAAAACAGATCCTGATAGAGAAAATACCATTGGGAAGATCAAAAAAGAGGTGAGAATATGTAATAAAAAGAAAAAATTGGTAGATTTTGATGATTAATAGGTGTATAGCTAGAGAATTTATTATGAGACAAGATGTTTTTAACTTCTAAAAGCTTAATATTAATTGAAAAATCAATGGCAGTACCATGATTGTAGTAAGAATTTGTTTAACACATAAAACATCAAAATTATACTATCTTAATTTTCTTTTAACCCAGTAAGTACATTATTAAATTTCAAAGCAATCAATATTAAAATTTGAAAGAAAGAAAAATATATTTTTATCAAATTTAAAAACTGTAACAAACTAAAATATCTTAAGAAAAAATATTACATATATAAGAAGTCCCACATAACAATTTAAAAATATAAAAATAATTAAGCTTAAAGGTAAGAATATTGTCTGAAGCATCTTATATTATTTTATTAATATTTTAATTTTAAATTGTGTTATGATTATCTAAATAATTAATGTGACTAAAATATTATAATTTTAAAATGCTCATAACTAGCTTATAAATATCAATAGCAATTAACCTATAAGTAGTCTTATTATGATATTCGTATCTTTTAATTTTATAATGAATTCATTCATTCTAGTATTTAACATTAACAATACAACATTGGTTCTACTAAACACAATTTTGCTATATTGTACAATTGTGAGATAGAGACAATTGATATAGATATAGTGCACTCTTAATGAATTTTTTTTTTCATTATAATTTGTAGATCAGCATTTTTATAAACAATTTTTGCAATTTCAAATAATGAATTTTTCCAATTTCCTGATAAAATCTATGATAATGAATGTTTAAAATTTCATTAAAATAGTCCAAATGTGAAAAAATTTCCAAAATATCACATGGGTGATGTCAATGTAGGTATTGTTAAAATTAAATACTAGTAATACGAGAAATACTAATATTTTATATTTTTTTGTTTTATTGCATCAAAAATTTTATGATACAATAGCTTATACAATTAAGTAAAAACAGAATAAATTGTTAACCACTCTAAGCAAAATAATAAATACTCCAGTATTTAAATGTTTATCTAATGAGATTTAATTATTTTAAACTTACAAAATGAAAAACTGTAGGTAGCATGAACATGAGTTCATTATTGATGTGTCAAATGTTTAGTGGTTATTCATGTAACTTAGCACATAGATCTTAAAATGATGTTAACTTGTAAATGTAATAAATATTAAGGAGCTTAGGGGTTTTTATGACTAAGAACCAGACTATCAGGTTAGCTCTAAGAATAGTAACAATATGTGTTGTAATTATTTAAAATCAATGTTAATCATAATCAGCAAATAGAAGTGTTCTAGCTTATAAACCATAAGCTATTTGTACCTACCTATTATTTACAAATATTATTATTTCAAATTGTTTACTGCTATTATTATTGATACTATACATAGCTACAATAATAACAACAATAATAATAATGTAATACACTATGTATATAATTCTGTCCTACAGTGGATATACTTGGACGTTTCATTAAAATTATACTCACGCGAAATATCAAAACCAGCAAATTGGTCGATTTCTTCAAAATCTGAACGAGTATCGTCGGCAGACAGCTGCGAATTAAGCAGAGCACGTTCTTCTTCCACGTCCAAAATCACTGACGAGTCATCATCTTTGAACACCTTGTAATTGCTGGGTTTGACAAATCCGTCGTCGTCGTCGTCATTGCCTTTGCCTCCATCGCGACCACCACCGACGGTGCCACTATGGTCACCATAACTCCGTCGAATCACGGTGGGCCCGCACGTCGGCAGACGCGATTGCAATATTGAACATCGACCAACTGCCACCAGGCACTTGGACAAGTCTCGACAAATTTTCAACGACAACATCGTCGAGTACTTTTTCACACCATTCGCACAAGATCCTCACGGAAGTTTCGTTGGAAATAGTAGTTACTCAAAAAAAAAAAAACTTAAAAGACCGTTCAGAACTTCTAACTTGGTAGTGTGTTTGTATTTCGTATTTTTAATTTCAATTTTGAGACGTTATCAAGACGGTTCAACTCGCAGCGTGCTCACTGTACAAGCCGGTGATAATACAATCTTTGGAGGCAAGTCACCGTGCACAGATAAATGTTTTATCTATATTGTGTATTCGTGGTATACGATGCTTATCACTAATATAAAAACGTTTCTCTATTGAAATATTGATGTTAAACTTTTTATTTATTATTGTATTATTTATTTATTAACGACTTGTGCTTTACAATAAAAACAAAACAATTTTTGTGTTCACGGACAGACGCTTTACAAACGTCTTGCGTGTATCCATTACAGTCGTAATTACCATAGACGTAATTTTTCGTTTTTTGTAAAATTATTTGATGTTTGAATTTCGGTACAAGTGCATTACCGCGTTATAGGTTTTCGGTCAAATACGTATGCTTATTTTGTGTAAATAGAAGAGGATAAAAAATACCAACAACTAACGATGTAGCTAAACAGTTTTAGTCGTTGTGTGTCGTTTACCTAAAGTGTATGTGACGCGGAACGAATACCTATACCACCTCAAGTATACTTACTAGTTACTATTCACTTAACATTTTTTGTCACATGAAATTGTTATATTTTGAAATGAAGCTCGACACTTTATCGTTGAAATATATCCAAATATTTTTTGTTGTCGTTATTTATTGGTAAGCAGTTACAATACATTCTTAATATTATTGATTTATTGATATTTTTTAACTGCACAATTCTAACCTACTATATTGTGTTTAAATTTTTTATTGATATTTTACAGGGTGATATCTATTCTTACAGTATTTGTAAATAAGACTTTATTAAGTATAGACCAACTAGATGTGGATGCTCCTATATTTATTGCGTGGTTCCAGTGTTTGGTTTCAGCAATAATTTGTTTCACTTTAAGTTGTTTGTCCAAGATGTTTCCTAAAGTAGTACAGTTTCCTGAAGGAAATCCATTTAATACGCTCACTGTTAAAAGTGTAAGTTATTCAGGTTATACTGAAGAAGTATTAAAATAAAAAAAGCTTAATCTTTTATATGACATGATATTGATTGAACCAGTTATTTTGTTTTTGAATGGTACATCAACATCATGCTAGTTATGCTTATTTTTAAATGTTCAAACTTAAATCTATAATAATTATAGGTTTTTATCAATATAAATTTGTATTTAAAATATAATAATATTGTTCTACATTTTTCTTCACAAGTTTTAGCAGCCTCTATGACCATTCTGTCATACAACCAATTCTCCTTGCTAACTTTCTTTCTTTGTATGCACCAAAATATATATTTTCATTTGTATTTTTAGATTCAAAAGTATTTCAATTATTTTAGGCCTGTAGTTAATTCTATTATATTAATAAAATTTAATAAATTTCATCTTAGAACAAACTTATCAAAAAATCATTTTATTTATACATTATACCTATATGTGTGTATAATTTTTTAATTTTTATCATAACTAAATAGTAAATATAATTAACTGTAAAATATTTATTCAATATATTTACTAATTGTAACTTATAACTTAACCATGACTACATTTAAGGTAATTTTTTTAAATATATAATTTATATGAATTTTATTATATATATATTTAAATATTAAAATATATGTCTTTAATTTTAACTTTTAGGTATTACCATTATCAATATTATATATTTCAATGATATCTACTAATAACTATTGCCTAAAATTTGTTGATGTTACATTTTATTATGTGGGACGATCACTCACAACAGTATTCAATGTCATACTTTCCTACTTAATATTAGGTAACTATATATTTTTTTTTGTATTAAAGGGAATAAGTGTCATATTTTATAAGCCATAAGATTGTGGCCCATATAGTAAATAATATTTATTGTATAATATCAATCTTGTACTACCCAATTTATGTCATTAACTAAAATTTTTTAAATCTAAAATATAGCTTCATGTATTCAAGAGAACCAAAAAAAAAAAGTATTGTGGACCAAGAGTTGGACCAGACTGTATTAGATTATATATTTTGAGCCCATAAAATATGATAATTAAAAACTGAAAATAAAATAAAATATTTTATACTATTTAATGTTAATCATATACAATAAAATGTATTAGCTCACTCATCAGTTATTACTATAGCTCATACATTATAATAACTTTTTAATGGTTTTATTAATATTAATTTGCTTTTTATTATTTATTAATTTGTATTATAAAATTATTCTCTCGGGTTTTAGGTCAAACTACTTCAATTAAATGTCTCCTTTGTTGTTTTGCTGTAGTGTGTGGATTTTTTTTGGGAGTAGATCAAGAAAATCTTTCAGGTATTATTATAAAGTATTTCTATTATTACCAAATTATTACATTATTATAACATATTGATTTCATTTATATTTCTCAAATGTTATTTAGAATTTAGATTGATGCAATTAAAGTAAGATTTAATTATGTTTTAAAAATATAAATAATTTGAAATCAATGTTACTAATTTTATCTAATTAGTATCTCATTTTTATAATTTACTAACTGTTAAATGATTAAATATCCACACAATACAAATGTATATCGGTACATACTACTTGCGTCCCAAATTGATAATAGCAGGTAACTTGCGTCCAAACAGTTAAGACACAAGTTATTTATTAATTATTACCAGAGATAAGTTGCGTCTAAGTGTTTAGGACATAACTTGTCGTGTAAATTGATGTGTTAATCGCGTCTTGAATTATTATTTCGTAATAATATAATTTTATAGTTAGGCATACCTACATAAGAAAAAAACATATAGGTATAAGTATGTAAATTGTTATATTTAATGATTATTAAAAAATTTTGAAATATTTCTCAAAATTGCTAATTTCAGAACAATATGAAGATAATATAAAAATAAAACAGGTGTGTATATTGTCATATGATTAAAAAAAATCTATAAAATGTTGTTATAAATCAATATTAGGTAAACATTTAGGACATCATTAGTTATATCTCAATAACATTCTTTTCATTTCTTTCTTGTTTAGTTTAGCAATTTGAGTTTCAATAAATTTTATTTTATCTTTTTGGTCACTACTATAATTTTTTTTTTTTTTTTTGTTTATTCAAACTGTTCATTAGAATTTATGTACTAATTTAAAATTCTCTTAGTATTTTGATAAGTGCAAAAATATTTAGGTGTGAGTGATAAAATGAAGAATTAAATTTCAAATGAAATGATTCACATGAGTTAGTGATTCGCCGAAGACTAGTAAAACACGCAGTCCATATTTGAGGAGGGAAACGCAAATCTTTAGTGATATAATTATTTAGAATATAATCACAAAATTGTTGATACCTAACCAAAATTATCGTTTGGTACCCAAATAACCTGTCAATAATTAATATCATAGGAAAGTTGCGTTCAAGCATTTGGAACGCAACTTATCTATTGTAATATTGCAAATTCTTATCAACTATCTTACGGGACGCAAGTAACATACAGCCACATTTATGTATACAAAACTTGTTTGTTTAGTGTAATTGGAACATAAGTGTATGTTTACACAATGTTTATAGTATATTTTTATATTTTAAGAATAAATAATTATACTAAATTAAGTATGCCAATTTATATTTCAACTTATTTTATATTTTTTGTGTACCACTTTAAATTATAAATTTTATTTACAACTCATAGCAATAATATTTTTATAATAGAACCACATATTTATTACTTTTAACTATGAAAAGTTACATTTTTATATTAATTTATAAGAAAACATATTTTTCATTACTATCATAATAGTTGATAAAATACACTATACAAGCGATTTTTATTATTTTTTATCAATTCAATTCAAGAAATAAAATGGTCATTATTTCTATTTACTAATATTAATATAGAAATGATAATAGTTTTTATTATGATTGATTTATTCTTATTATATATTTTACAGGTTCATTTTCATTGGTTGGAACATTATTTGGAGTTTTAAGTTCATTTTCTTTGGCATGTTACTCTATTCAAATCAAAAAAGTTCTTCCTGTTGTTAATAACCAAATATGGCTACTTTCTTATTTCAATAATGTATATGCTACTATATTGTTCATTCCACTTTTAGCACTTGAAGCTAAAGAATTGAGTAATTACAGTAAACTAACTGAATACAAATTTTTATTTTTAATGATAATTGGTGGTGTTTGTGGACTTTCAATTGGTTATGTAACGGTACTCCAAGTTCAAGTAAGTACATTATACGTTAAATGATTAGCTTATAACTAGGGCTCAGGACTTGATGCATTTGCCTATTTCTTTGAAAAATAAATAGAAGAAATCAGATTTGATACATATTTGGGGGTTTTTTTTTTTTGACATAAGTATTTCAAATTCAAAATTTTTTTATTGCATATTCTATAAATGTATTATATTTTTTAATTTATAAGAATTTTTCTTTTTGACATATTATAAAAATGTTATTAAAAAAACAAATGTGTAAATATAATATACATTGTTCATTATAAATTAATATTATCGTATGATTTTGTCTGCAATAATTTTGATAAGACAATAATCAATAACATGACTCCAATTTAACATTTCATGTTTTTAAATTTAATTTATACAAGTATGTCTTTTTTCATTAAAAATAAACACATATTTAGATATTTTATTATGCATATGTATGTGCATATTTTTATAATCTTAAATGCATAAAGTTCCAAGCCTTGCTTATAAACCATGCTTAAAATAAATAAACAAAAATATTTACATATTCATTATGAATTATATTGGTATACACTATACATGTTTACTATACGTATGTATTAGAAAAAAATCAAGCTTTGTTTTTGTTATTGCCAATCAACTAAAAATAGAATTATTGACAAACTACTTGTACAAAATATATTAAATAATATCTATTGGTAATATTTCAAAAACATTTTTTTATTCAATTATTATACTGAGTTACACTTAAGTACATTAAAAAATAAGGTGTGGATTACTCCGATTGACATTATATATATATTGAATATATAGCGCTATAATTTTTATTTTATATTGAATTTTGAAGAAGTGTGTGATGCAGTGAAATATCATGTTTGTATTTTGACATAATATTTTATTTACAATAAGTACAATAATGGAGAACCTTCTAAATTGTCCAACGTATTATCTTATATCTTTTAAATTTTTTACTTAAATTAAGCAATTTAAGAAATAGCAATAACCTTAATTAGTTTTAAATTATTTTTTAATAAGTTTAAATAAACCATATTTTATTATTATATATTAAAAATAAGAAGATATATATGTTAATATTACTGTTAAATTTTAATTTAATTTCAGGTAACATCGCCATTAACTCATAATATATCAGGCACAGCAAAATCATGTTTCCAAACAGTATTAGCTTCATTCTGGTATAGTCAATGGAAGTCTTCTATATGGTGGTTTTCAAATTTTATTGTGTTGGGAGGAAGTGCCGCGTATACTATTGTTAAGAATAGAGAAATGGAAAAAAAATACCGGCCAATAGTATACAACCGTTGTTAGTTTTATTTATTTAATTTATTTTCTTACTATTTTATATAAGTTAAGCTTTGACCCATTTTTTTTTTTTTTCATAAATTATTTTATTTTATTTATTTTTACTCTTAATACCTTTTACAAGGTAAGAAATCAGCTGCCCGCAGGCTCTAAAACAATTTTTTATAGCTTGCATAATGTTTTTTTTTATTTTTATAAAAATAAACTTTATCTATAAGGAGATTATTATTGTGTCTATTATCTTTGTTGATGTGAAACCATTATTTCTTTAATTTTCAGTTTATCTAACCATTTCCTTTACACATAATATTGTTGTGTGTACAATCTATAATGTTAAACCCATAATATGCAGTTTATTCAACATAGTGCATAGTTCAAAAAAATAAATGTTAATGAATTTAACATATAAAAATTTTTTTTTTTTCTAAACAAACCATCAGTATATTTCAACTTGAAAAATTTGTAGTTAAAGATTATAACCAAGAATTAAAATAGTATGAATAATATTCATTGTAACTTACAACTTGCAAATTCAATATATTAGATTATTTATAAATGTTTATAAATGATTATTAAAAACAATAAACTATAATACTTGTAAGACAATTTAAGTGAACTGCATAATTTTTTTATTTATACAAATTAAAATAAAGGCAGGAACATTATAATAAATATAATATGAATAAAAAAACTTAAAACATATCAATATTATTTAAAATTTTTTAAAATATAATGAAATAACTGAAAACTGATAACACAATAACACCATCCAAAATAATATTTAAAAAAACAAATATGTTACATTACATATATTATTTGTGATGTATAAATTGTGGTTGAAACTGGTATCTTTTAAAATTGCTTAGTAAAATAAAGAAAGATATACCTTTGGTAGAAACATAGTATTATACTCATTTTAATATGAAAAAATAACATACAAATAAATTATTTAATACATTTTTTTATTCTATTCTATATTTTAACTGATAAAATAAGCAATTTTATTTATAAAAATTAAATTTTTAGCATAGTTATCCAATTCATAAGATCTTAAAAATTATTTTATCTTGTGAAATAATAATTTCATAAAAAAAAAATTTTAATTTATTACGATTGGTTTAGAAGTTTTATACAAAGATCACAAGATATTTTTATTGAAATCAAAAAAAATATGCATTGAAGTGTAAAGAAGATGAATTAATTTTAATGAACGTTAGAAAATTAAATATTTAAATAAAAAATAATAATTTTTTCCAGACATTATTTTAGTTATTATGTATTATAAATATTATTTGTTGTAATTCAATAATTATTAATTCTAGAGACTTTAAACTTAAAAATAATTTGGTGTATACACAAAACAATTTTTATAATTAATATTCTAGTATTTTTTATTTTCGTTAGACTCGAGATAGAAAATAAGTTAATCATTTCATTTTTTATACATGATAAATATTCATAATTTTATCAGAGGTGTTTTTTTATAATCTGTATAAATTAATACACAAATCCATTATCCATGACATGAAAAAAATATCTTTTTCACCTTGTAGTTTTTCATAATATTATTTTACAACATCAGTAATTACATTCTATATTAGGATAGATAACTAGTAGTTAATAAAAATTAATACAACTGTTAAATATATGAGCAATGTATTGTTATTTATTTTCATAAGTAATGTATATACTATATTTATCAGTTCTGCTAAAATAATTTTTTCAAACATCTTACAAAATAAAATATATAGCGTAATTAATTTCTTGAAACGTTAATTTATTTATCATTTTTTACCCAATATGTAATATTGTCATGACATAATAAGTTGCCTATATAATACTCCTTAAAAAATGATTATTGAAACCACCTCAGCAACAACATTATTCAAGGCTGGACATAAACAAATTTAACATTAAAATTTAAGTAAAAACATAATTCTTTTTAAGAAGTATCGACCTTTTTAAATTTATAAGTTACTTTTTATGTTTTGTTTTAATGAAACAAGTTATATTTCTATATGAATAAATGCGTATAATTTCAATTACAAATATTTTTCTTAAACATTTTGAATTTAAAAAAAATAAATAAATATATTTTGAATTAAAATAATGTTACTTAAGAATAAACTACAGTTAAAACATACTTGTTTATAAATAATCATAATAGTATAAAAAATGGCAAAAAATTATTTTACTTATCTGTAAAATAATTTAAATAGTTTAAACAACATTAAAATTTAGAGTATTAGGTACACAGAATAGCTAATAAATATTATTTGTCATGTTTCTTAAATACTATAATTCTTGTTTTTTTTTTTTTCAAAAGAAATTTAATAGTGACATTTTTTTGATAAATTTTCTAGGTTATTGTGGAAGCCAATTTTTAAATAATTGTTTGATTTTTTATTTTTTTTTTTGTTAATTTAAATGAATTATCAAAATAGTAATTTATTATTTCAAATAATTTTAATTAAAATATCAAAAATCGATTCTCACAATAACCTTTTAAAAAAAACCGACAAACTTAAACAATTTTACAGAATAAAAATTTGATTATTCTAAGTAAACGTGGTTTTTTTTAGTTTTTGGCTTAAATCATGAAATAAGTTCATTATAAATTACCTTAATATATAGTTTTTATAGCGGAGAAAGTAAAGAAGTTTTTACTCTTATCTGTAAACTAGTTAAATTATTTTTTAACTTGAATACTTATAATTAAAAACTTGAGTGAGTTAATTTCTATTTAAATACAATATAGTGGAAAAAAGTAATTTGTCCAGCCCTGGCATAACTAAAATATTTAATTATCTTTATAATCCTATAAACATACAATAATTTACTTAACGTCTAGAATAAATTAATCTCCAAAAACGGTCTGTCTTAAATGTTAAAAATTTCTCTAACATCGTGAATAGTTTTATTGTGATTAGTTTTAATGTGATTTGTTTTCTTTAGTTTTGCCACCAATTGCAATGTACCCTCAGTTCTTTTGCACATGATAAAATGACACTGTTCTTTCTTTGATGCAGACCTTCTTATCTGAGCTAGTTGTTTTGCAACCGCTGGTGGTAGTATTATCTCCATCATTCTGTAATAAAAAATAAAAGATTACTGTCCAAACCCTGTTATCGTGTACAATTTTAACCAAAAATAAGATAATCAAAACATTAAAAAGAATATAAAACGAATAATTTGTGTATTAAATAAAAATTTGTCAAGTAAAAACATCTCTTTTGTTGTGTAGCTTGACCTTCATCCAGAGACGTTAATTCGAAAGTAGATTCCATATTTAGCATGCATACGTAGATGGGTACCTATGTGATGTGTAATTTAATTGACGAGTAGTTGGACAATTTGACGAGTAGTCAAAAAATAATTATCTATAAATTGGTAGGTAACGCGGTGGCTTTATCAAACGTATTTATATTTAATTCTCAAACAGCGACGGATTAAATCAATTATTATCTAATCATTTGCTTTAATAATTTAAAAATTATAGCTTACAATCAAGTGACTGTTCCGGATATAATTTTTTAGTAAGTTGATTTATGCGTAGCGACTGTGCAAAATTACGCGAACAACTAAAGATATGAGAAATTTCTAGAAAATCATTAAATTAGCGTAAATAAAATATGGCAATAATTAATTTTTAAAAGATAAATCATCTACTGTTGATTCAACACCTTGAAATGTAAACATATTCAATTTTAATAATCATTAATTATTATAAGCCACCTTTATCCACTCAATATACGTACAAAATAAAAAGTGGTACATTTTACTCTATTATTTTTTTTAAATTAAAGTGGATGTTTTAGATCAGGGGTCACCAACTAATTTCTATGGAGGTCTGTTTTGAAACTTACCAAACTTTCTGCGATCCAAACTCCAAACAGTTTCAATGACTTTTACACGCGTTAATAAATAGTTAGATATGTATATTTTATAAATTTGTATTTATACTTTTTTATTTATTCAAATTGTGTTTTGCACAGGTTAATAAATAAGTATATTGTATATATTATATTTTAAAAATTTGTATCTATACTTATTTATTTATTCAAATTGTACTTCACAAAAGTAACAGAAACTTTTTCAGGTACGAGTCAAAATTTTGTAATCGAAGTTAATTTTTTTCATAATAAAAAATATGTCTGGAAGCAGTAAACTTTTCTAATTAATGATTATATTTATTTTTTTTAATAATAAATTATTTTGTTATTTCTTTTCTAAACGCAAATAAATATTTTCACGTGCTATTTAAATATGACCAACGTACAACTTTAAAGTTTATCACCACTGTCTTAGATAATAATCGTATATCTCTAAATTTTATATTAGGTTAATTCATCCTAATTGTATGCCCCTTTAAGAAAGCTATGTTAAACAGTAAACTAAGAATAATGCATTTATCTACAAATTTACAGCCATATCATTTTGTGTCGCTTCCAATAAATACCTTTTTTTACACTGTATTATAATATATTATATAATATTTTCTCGAGTTTTTTATACGCCATGTTAAGTTATCCATTCAAAGGTCAAATATTTGTTATACGTATTTTTATCGAGTACATATTGAAATTTGTTTTATTAATTAATTTATTAAACAACTTAGGACAATTTTTTGTGTAGATAGCAGATAACTCTGAAACTCAACATGAGCTAACTCAGCTGCAAGATTTAAATTTTTAACTTTTAACTAAAAAATAATAATAATATAAAACAAACACGAAATAACAAATATAATACGAGTGGTGTACCTGATGGGTTTGTTGCCCACATGCATGGACCGCATGGCCCTGCCGACTTCGCACGCTATCCTCTCGCTGCAGTCTTTGCCGTCGATGGACTCGGCTACGAGCTTGGTGAGCGAGGCCAGCTCTTCGGGAGCACGTTTCAACGCCGCCTTAGAGGTGAGCGCGTGTATGGGCAATATCGGTATGAACATGAGCGCGCTGAGGAACACCACCGCAACGCCCACGAATCCAGCCATGGCCACGAACAGAGGCTCTACCCGGGGCTTGGCTGGCGCCTGGTTTTCAGGCTTGGCAAGTTCCGAATCCGACGCAGACGTCGTCGACGACATCTGATTGCCGTTCTGCATCTGCTGCAGTACCTTGTTGTCCAGCGGATAAAAGAAATAATTGTACCCGGAAATCATGCCGTCCGGTGGTCTTTGCGCCGTGTCACCTATAAAACGACGAGGTTTGTATATATATACATATATATTCTATCCTGTCACACGGAGAAAGGCTTCTACAAAAAAAAAAATGTTGGGAAAACGGGTTTTCTTTTATTTTGTATATTTTTTTGCTTGTCAACAAAATCATTCTACTATATTTCGGTCGCTACTAGCTATAATAATATATAATAGAAGACGATTTACTCCAGAAATCGTTCAAAAAAACGATTACAACAACAAATTTTTAAAAGAAAGTATTTATCGTATACATATTTTTATATCAATTCAGACTACTTAAAGATTTATTTGATCAAAAAATTAGAAACAAACCAGTTTATTTTATTGAATTATAATAACTATTATGTTAAACGACGTAAACCGAAAAGAACTTAAGATACTGACGTCCAATTAGAAACGTGTAGATACTGCTTGTTCTGTTAATCCAAGATTAAAAGATAAATATGCATTATATGCCACCAAATAAATGTACTAAACGTAAAATTAATAACTATTAATTATATATACGACATGTATTCGTATGCTTATTTGTCTAGTATTTAGTGATATTTGGATAGATTCTACAACTACGTGTTTAAAGCTCATTTCGACGCTCTAAATTATGTTTTATTACATTTTAACCTCGTAAAAATCATAAGAAGTGACCCAATAAACTACTCGTATAGTTTAAAGTAATGTTATTTTTAAAAATTATTGGTTATTGCCTTTCAAATAGACAGAGCAATAAGGCAGCGTATTAAACTCAAAAATGTTGGAAGTAACTAATAATGTGTTGCTAAAAAAATAAATAAATTCCTGGATATATGTATTTTTTACGTATCGATAAGTAACAATGATAAAAATCTTTGAATAAAGTTTAAAAAACATGTACACTTTTTGTTATAGCAGAGCGATACTTATACTTTCCCTTCTTTTTTTAATTGATAATAATTTTATGTATTAATAAATAATTAGTGATAATAACTATACAAAGGGAACAATTTTGACTTAAAAATATTTAAATTTTAACCCATCGTGTTTAAATATATTTTATTTTAATTAATAGTGTATGTTAACCTGGCTATGATTTTAATATATTTGTTAGGCACTTCTCTACACTTGCAGTAATCAAATTGAAAATATAAATTATAAATAAAAATATTTTGATTTATCTAATTAATATTATGCAAGATATTTATAAGTGCTCTATTACCTATATACTACTAATTAATAACTATATACTATTTTGATATTTTTGTTTGAAACTTACTCGTAAGAGCGTTAATTATGTTTTGTGGATTGTTGGCGGGAACTTGGTTTAACTGTTGCGGAGCTTCTTGAGTAACTATCCGATTTTGTGACTCAGCTGCAAATTCGTTTTTTAAAAATTGAGGCGCTATTTGCGAAAGTAATAAATCCAATTGGTTTTTGGTGGTGTCGGTCTGGACAGGACGGTTCGCCTGATTCTGTGAACAATCACCGATAAATATAAACATTAACAAAACGCGTTCCGCCAATATTATATTAAAAATACATATTAATATTTATATTATGCATGAACTGTGCAATTAAATTATCTTTCGTACGTTGAAATGGAACGGTTGTTTCGATAGCATTTTTATCTCGTCAGAAGGTGGAGTGTACGGGATATCGTCGGGTATGTATTCTTCGACGTCGATTCGATCATTAACCACCTTGCGGTTCGGTCGGTGCATGTTGCCAATAACGCTTTGAAGGAATTCGGCGCCCGATGATGCATTAGTCGAGCCAGTATTATCGCCGACCACAAACGAATGCAGCGGCAACAATTGCACGATTATAAACAGGTATAAAACTGTTGTTCGAACAGCTCTGCTACTCCTAGTGACAAGAAAAACTCTCTTAATGAAATAATTATGGTTAGGGTTAGCCGAAAGTTTAAAGATGGGTTCACTGACACGGCGTCATCTGCCGTGTCGTATCCGAAAGTTGAGATTAGCTCAACTCTGGTAATTTCCCTGTATAAATCGTGGGTAGTTAATGATATTACGTTAATAATGTTAATAATAATTTAATTTTTGTATGTCATGTAATATAAGGTATTTATTTCTTACTTTATTTACAACACAATTTAAGAGATATTATTTTTATATTATCTTAGATCTACTCGTAGGTATATTATCAAGATATATACTTAGAAAGCAATATACTAGTATAATAATAAAGCAGGTAATTACATTTTAATAATCTACTACAATTTTTTATGTTTTTTTTTTATATGAGAAAATTTGGTCATTTATCAAAATAATCAAGAAAAAGGATGACGATATTATTAAAATATCTGGAATAAGAAAATTGTATCCTCCAAATGATGTAGTATATCTTAATAAATTTCAGTATGAGTATTTTTAAGACATAAACATGTTAAGACATTTAAAATATGATTAGTATAGATTTATCTGATTATAAACCATAGTTACTAGTTTTTAATCATATACAACTTATACAGCAAAGCCAATATTTTTTACCAAACCAGTATTATAATACAGTTATGTTTCCAATCTTAAGTCTGGCAAATAGAAAGGATACTATTGATTTAAAAAAAATATCTCTGCACGTAATTTACGTCTGATTACAAATTATATTTTTAAGTCATAATTTACATAGCCATAAAATACACCAGGACTTAAATTTATTCATGTATAAAATAAATTCTAACCATAATTTACATGAAAAATTAATCATCTAGATTAAAATTAAATACTATACAATTATTTAAATAGTACCTAAATAAAATTTATAGAAAAAACTAACTGCCATGCATCCATATACTGTATAATAAGACTCTACCAGTCTACTATACATATACGTATTATCATTTATCGCACATGATAAGAGCGCAATAAGTATCTACTTAATCGTGAATCATTTTTATTCGTTAAAGCGTCCTATATTAAAATATACACTATTATTATAGCAACAATCGGCAACTGGTGTACTACGGAAGACAGAAAACTAAACCACCGAAATATCTCGATTAGATATTGTGTAATAATTACATCATAAAAAATTGAAAAAAAATTTGATTTAAAAAAATCTTTTTTGTCTAGGTCTCATTTATTTATAAGTTTGATTTTTTGCACTCCAAAATAAATTGCTTGCCGACTCCTGCACTATAGAAACGCAAAATAACGCTTTTAGATGTGGCTTATTATTACTATACGGTAATCCTTGATTCGCTTATTTATTAATTTTTCAAATTTGTATATATTAAATACGGCCATATAATCATGTTGGTATTAAGTATACAATTTGCGTACCTAAAAAGTTCAGATGATTGTGTGGCTGTGTGCATTGTGACACGCAAACGTATATCTATAATACATATTATATTATAATATACATATATATTTATAGACGACGGATTGACTATTACCTATTGGCTATTATATTTGCTTGTCGCTGTTGTTGCGAATCGGGAACATGGTTTCTCTTTTATTAACAGATAGAAGAAACGATTTTTTGGAAATAATAGACACCTGTATATACCTACCTACAATACCATCGTCATCATAGTTATTGAATTCCCGTGTATAAATATCTATATATTGTGATTTGTGAACTGAAATAGTTTTCGATTTCGATTTCTTCGAGCACATATTAATATTTTATTGTGCATCACATAATACCTAGGTATGTGATTGTTAATTGTACGTACCAATATATATTGCAGCAGAATAAAAGACGCGATGATTATATTATATTTTCTAGTCGTAGAATGTACCTACGTTCTCTACCAAGCTATTTAATGAATTATTTGTCTTTTTATATTATTTTTTTGACAAACAACAATAAATAATACTACGAGTATTACGAGTATAAATTTGTAATATTATGCAAATATTATTGCAATAAGTGCGTTTCGTTATTTTTTCCAAATAAGATATGCCACAATATAGCATAATAATTGTATAGAGCGTAGACTGCAGGTAAATTGTTGTATATTTCATACAGACCATACAGTAATTTACAAATATTTTATGGAATACAGTTATAATGCTCGTAAAGTATTAATTACAATTTAGCAAAGGTGGGCATTAACTAGTTAAAAAGTTAATTTTTTTTAAACTTTTTAACCTAACTAATTGGTTATTTTCTAATCAACTTATGGACTTGAGGAATTTGATTGATAGTTGAAATAATTTAGCTTTTTGCAGTTAATATTAGAATTTTTTTTAATAAAATTACAAATTATAATTTGCATTGTTTTAATGTTTTATGACCTTCAGGCTTTAATTGCTATATTAAATAAGAAAAAAATATTTGTTAAATTATTAATTTGAGATGTGTATACCTTAAATTAGTAAATAATATATCATGTAACGTAAAAAAGTATTTACATTGTATAACGCGCACTATGATAAAAATAAAATAAAATTGTTTTTTATAATTTAGTAAATTAAAGAAGTTAAAAAAGTTTAAAAAAAAAGTAAATTAGAAAGACATAGGTAGTTATTCTTTATGTGATTTACATACTACCTAATTAAAAAAAAATAAATTAACTTTTTTTAAACTGAGTTAAGTTAGAATTTTTTTCTATATTAAATGTTAACTTATCGAGTTAAATTTATAATTTGTTAACGGTTAATTAATAACTCATCGATCTTGTGCTTTTTTAACATAACTAAACTTAAGTTAAATATTTTCATTAACTTGCCCACCTTTGTAGTTTAGAAAAGTAAATTATTAATAAGTATAGGCGTATAGCCAATATCAGGCTTTTAAAGCAAATGTACCGAGAGGACAAAATTAAATAATTTGACCATATTTTAATAAAATGCCATCGTCTCTATTTATGACGAGCATGAGAGAGTTCTACTGTTGGAGAGTGTGCGTGTAACAGTCGTAAGTGGACAGGCAACGACTATAATACAGACTAATGTGTATTATTTTATGTCTGTTTTGAAGTATCAATAAAAGTGTATTAGACTAAAATCTGTGTTAAAGACTTTTCTTACAATAATTTAACGTTCTACCTTTATAACCAAATAGTGCCGGGATCATAATATAGTTAATGAGGTCTTGAAGATTAGGACGTTAAATCAATAAAAATTCACAATCAAATTTCACATTAAATTAACAGTGCTTACTAAGAAATGGAGACCAGGGCCGGACTGGTAGGGTTTCGGCCCACTATTCTCTGTATGCAACCGGCCCATTTTCCTATATTTAACGGCCCAACTTGAACTAACAAAATATTTGATTTTCTCAATAATATTTCTACCTTACCAACATTTTATAAGAATTAGGATTTAGAACTCTTTCGATGTTGATTACAAAAGTAAAATATCAATACAGGTATAAATCAGTAAACCCGAACAGTATGACAAAATACAAATTAAATTTTATAGTTATATATTTATGTATATGAACGACAGTAATTTAGATAAAGTATGAGATGAGTTTTAATAATATCCAAAATATCTTCAAACTTTAAATCATTTAATATTTCTTTTCACCGACATTAATAAAAAGCATCTAAACGGTCATTAGATAATGAAGCGCGTAGACGATTTTGATAATTTTAATTTGCTAAATACTCGTTCACAATTAACCTGAGTTACCGATAAGTTAGTATATTCCATGGCGGCATATAAATTAGAATAAGTGGGCATATGTAAATTAAGCGAATGAAGTAAATTAAAACACAAATCAAACAATTCTCTGGGCATGTATACCTTTTCATCACGGATAAAGAGTGTTCATTCAGATTCTGAAAAAAAAAATGCTCATATAATTTATCTTAACACGAATAAAACATATAAATATAGTTAGTAGTTGAATTTGATTAAAATATGATATAATAAACAATTAATTTTTTTTTTTAGTTACCTGTAACAGATAGATGAGTTTCCCAATCTAAAGAAAAATCTTCATAATCCATATCAGTTACAATTAAATTATCATCATCATTATTTGTGTTTTCGTCATAGATATCAACAGTTTTTTTATATAATGGTTTAGAAATTTTATCATAAATTCCAGCAAAGTGTTCAAGTTCGTCAATTAATTTTGAGTGATCAACAGATGATAATTGAGATAACTTTTGTAATGCTGATTTAGGAATTAGTTTATTTCTTACATCATTATAATGTTTTGGCAATAAATATTGCATATCTGCAACCACACTTTTATTATTAGTAAATCTTTCAGTTAGGCTGGTTCGCAATTGGTCGATGATACATTGAAAAACTTCTACTCTAAATTTATGTTTTGGATCTGTTGGTGCTTCATCGTCACAAACTTCATCAAACATATGTCTTTTTATTCTTATTCTATTTTTAGGAAAATCATTCTCAATAAATATCTCTTTATTTAATGCAATTTTTTGAAGGGAATTATTCATTTTTAAAACAAAATCTTTAGATGATTTAAGAACATTCTCAAATTTTAAATTACTTATGTCAGCAATACACTTGTCCACCATTAAAAAAGCATTCAATATATCCAAATTCTTTGATTGTAGGTATGTTGATGTAGGGCCAATACTTTTGAAAATTGGAAGAAATAAATGAGCTGTTACTATAATATTAAATTGACACAACTTTTCTTTTAATGAATTGGCTTCGGAAATAGATTTTGGGTCAAAAGTTTTTGATGTTGCCACAAAATCCAATGCATTTATCACTATAGGATATAAACAGTCATTTCCGTCAAACATCCATAGTAATGCTTTTTCGCGGGACCACCAACGAGTCTCACCTATTTTCTGTAATTTTTTCAGTTTATTTTGACCGGTTGTCAGTTTTTCTTGAATTTCTTTCCACACACCCATCTTTTTGTATGAATCAGAAAAAAAAGTTGCCAATCTATTTAATAAA